TGCAATGCAAATTGAGTGCCGAATTTGGAGCTGTCTAGCGCATGCAATCATGTTTGGTTCTGCGTCGGTCACAAGACACTTTACTTTATTTGTTATAGCCCAGTCCTCCATCATGGCCCTTTTTACTTGGGCCAAATTGTCAGCAGTGTGACTTTGTGGAAAGTATTGCACACCTAACACAGATGTACACAGCTGCAAATTTTCATTAATGTAGTGACAGGTTAGAGCCAAGTAAGCCTCCATGTTCACAGATGTCCACATGTCAGCGGTTATACTCACTGCCACAGCCTGCTGTACTTCCATTTTCACTCGTTCCCGTTCCTCCTCGTACTTTTTGGCCAACAGTTTGGTTTGACTTGGTGTGGTCTGAAAACCACACCAAGTCAAACCAGAAGAAAACCAATATATTTAAAATAAAGTTGATGAATAAACTACCACTTTAGATAATTTCCACACAAACCTTTCTGGTTGGCAAAACATATGAGGGCTCAAGGAGCAGAACCAGCTCCCTGAAGCCTTCATTCTCCACAACAGCGAGGGGCTGGCAGTCCTTTACAATGAAATTAAGCACAGCCTCATCAAGCATCTGCTTCCTGGAAGCTTGATGGTTAAAAATGAGAAAGTGTAAATTATTCAGAATTATCAATAAAACAAAGTCAGTAAGTTGTAAAATACCTGTATACCTGAGTTCATCATGGGTGTATCATGGATTTCACGCTCATGCTTGGCCCTATAATGCCTCAGCATTGAGGAGGTGCTGTTATTTAAATATGAAAGCTCTGCTGAGCAATTGCGACATTTAACCTGCAGAAAAAAACACGGACAGTAAACTAAAGGTCACTTTGAAATGAATTTCTAATCAGAAAATCAAGTGGAAACTCTGAGAGGAACAGGATGAAACAAGGAAATTAAAACAAATACCTTATTTTCCGAAATGAGATCAAAGTGGTCCCACACGGCAGAAACCTTTCTTTTTCCTTGAGGAAGCTCCATAATTTTTGATAAATGTTATATTCACAAAACACGGAAGATTGTTTTGGCAGATGCATCTCGTTGGCAGATGCGCTTCTTTATAAAGGCTTGTCAATCAGTTCGAAACATCGGTCACGTGACCGATACAGGAACTGTTTCGGTCACATGACTTTTCCGTAGCGATACACACGTCGACAAAGGTTTCGCTCTATGAGACCGACACATGCGCCGACGCATCGGTGTTGCCCGACCCATCACTAGGTTCGGGATTCTATCAGAATTTTAATAAACCCTTAATCAGTTGTTCTGACTCTCCAGATTAATTGAAGACGTTAAATGAGGAGTTGAAGCTGGACCTCGTGGATCCGTGCCTAACTTTTTACACAGACGCAGCTTTTCAGCAGCTGCACGTATGAAATACAACAATTAGTCTTTGGCTTTCAGATCAGATGAATAAATAATTAGTTTCATGCAGACAAAGAGCAGAAAATCTGCATTAAAAGGAAAAACTAGTGATGATTAAATTCAAAGCAGCAAAACATGTGGAAATGAACCAGGGTTTCCGCGGATCATTAAAAATAATTACAATTCATTTTTTTTTTTAAATTAAGACCTTAATTGGCACTAAAATGAATAAAATATGTTTATCGTGGTATTTATGATTCTTTAATAAAAATGTTTATAAAAACAATTTCGTCGGATATATTATATCGCGATTAATTTGAGTGGAACTGATCATAAAGCCGTATGTTCGGAAAGGAAGCTCGAGGCGGAGAAAAAGCTAGAAAAAAAAAATATATATATATATATACACATAAAATGTTGGAACATTATTATTATCATTATTATATTACCAAATTTTTACCCTCAACTGTTTATTACTTGGACTTTGTTTCCGTTTATATTCTGCGATTGCTTCATTTCTATCAGGCTAAAAACTGCAGTCAGAGGAGGAAGACGAAGAGATAGCTAAAGTTACGAGTTAATGTGCAGAGCAATGTGGGTTTAAAAGGATTATATAATATCTACGGCCGCGGAATTAAATATTAGAGCTCTTTAAGTTTCTATAATTTCCTTGTTCTTCTAGTACCGTAAATAACCTGAAAAATACAATAAATGAATAAAACAAAAGTGGTCTAATAATTGTTTCCATGATGGTAGAATAAATCCTTTTTTTTTTTTTTTTTTTTTTATCCACCCATCATCCATTCATCCATTTGTGATCCATTCTAAATGTTTTGTATGGTTAGTAAATTTTTCTCTTTTTATTTAAAATGACACTAGTTCGACATTTGTTATGATTGTGACATTTTTATCATTTAAATGGAGGAAGAAGAAGAACCCATATTGGCTCAAAAAGAATCTACCAAAAAAGATAGTTTGATGAGGCTGGACTTTTCTATAGCAGCTGAATAAAGTCCTGAGAATCCCTGAGGACTCGCTGTGCAGGTTGGTGCTGAGAGACGCCTCACAGAACCAGAACCAATCACAAAATAACACATGATTCAATTTCAGATTCCAGCTTTTTGTTTTAAAACATTTCCTCCAATAGCTGCAGTGAAACATTTGATCACTTGGTGTTAAACTGTTGGTAAAATTAAGAATTTATAAACTTTTTCTTCTTTAACTCAGATCAAGCAAAGGAAGCAGACAGCATGGCAGCAGCACAGCCTGGTGAGTTACACCTATGAGCTACACAGATAACTGTATCTGTTGTCATGGAGACATGAAAGCACAACTACATGGAAAAATATGAACAGTAAATGTATTTAGCTTGATGTAGAATCATGGTTGTAAAATAATATCATAATAAACAGAAACGTGGTTCAACTTTGAACTAAAATCCATCCCAGAGTTTCTCCACCATGACTGGCTGCTTCTGGGTTCTGGGAAAGTTGTCCTGATGGATTTTATCCTCATTGATCTAAAGATGCTCACAGCTGAGCTCAGCATCAGTCTAGATCATGTTAATCCTGATTGATTCAGTTTTTTATAAAAAAATTAAAATAAAAACCTTTAATCCAGAGACTTCAGCCCACGGCCTGCTCAGCTTTAACAGACACAGAATGATAATGTGCTTCTCCTCTGGGTTCATCTGCAGCTTCAGAGCAGATTTTAACCTTTTTTCTATAAATAAATCAAACAGACGGGTCTGGTCTGACCTCTTAAAGGATGTTTATCTACATTTGGACTCAAGGTCCAAGATTCAGATCCTCATAAAAAATCTTTGGAGATGTTAACTGTTGAACCATTCAGATTTCTTGTTTTCTTGCTTGGATCAGTTCTATTTATTGTAAGAAGTATTTTCTAATAATAATTTTGCAGCAGTGTGGCTCCTACGGTGGCCTGGAGGTGCAAACCAGCATTACAAAATCTAAAACACTTTTACAAGTTCCAAAACAAATTATCATTTCAGAAAACAAAACAAAAAAATCAAAACAAATAGCATTTTAAGAAAACAAATAAAAAACATTCGAAACACCTTTCCAAGTCCCAAAACAAATTATCATTTGAGGCTGAACTGGTCTTGTGCAAATCTCGTTTCTGTTCCCCCTGTGTCGGGAGCGTGCATTGCAGCCAGAGAGGCATCATTTCATTCTCTTTTAATTATGGCAAAGGAAGATTAAATATGACCCAATCCACAGGATTTGTTGTTGATGGTCAGAGGAATAAGCACAGTTAAAGATTTGCAGGTACACTAATTTCTTTCCATGTTATGGAGGGGAACAGATTATTTCAGGCAGCTGAAACATCTATTCTCTCCTCTCCGCCTCCCATATCTTTGGTAAATTAAGAGCAACTGTTTCCAATTTCTCTAGAATTGATATGTGTGATATGTTGAACTAGAAATGTCCTTAATCCAGTAATCTTTCATATTTTACATTAGAAGGGGATTAACCAGAAATTTTACACTCTCATCTTCGCAGTACATCTTAATTTGTGTGCCCTGCTATCAGCCAGTTTCCATCCTCTTATATCAGCAATGAAAAATTTAAAATACACTACGTGTTGGAAATCTGTGTTTGGTGACTGACGTTTATTTCTGTCAGGCTGAAGGGACAAAAGTTGGAGAAATACCGATTCTCTTGGCGTTTAAAAAAACAACACAAAACAGCTTAAGAAGACCTCGTTAATGTATTTATTTTACAAATTTGTAAAAAGAGCAATCGATTAAACTGAATGTTACAAAGTTGACATGATTATATGAGCTGTTTTCACCGAGAAATGATCAGGAGTGCCTTGAGAATGGTCAGATCCGCCTCTCTGGCTGCAATGCGCGCTCCCGACACCAGGGGGACAGAAACAGAATTTCACAAAAGACTGGTTCAGCCTCGGAGTTAGTGCCCACCCTTTCCGGTTGAATTCCTCAAATGATCATTTGTTTTGGGACTTGTAAAAGTGTTTCGAATGTTTTTTATTTGTTTTCTTAAAATGCTATTTGTTTTAAATTTTTAAAAGTGTTTTGTTTATTTTTATTATTATTTTTATTGTATAAATATGTTTCCTGAAATGATCATTTGTTTTGGAACTTGTAAAAGTTTTTTAGATTTTGTAATGTTGGTTTGCACCTCCCGGCCACCGTAGGCTCCTGTGAGCAAGAGCTAATATCTCATATTTTTCCTCGTTGCCAACAGATCCCCCAATGAAGCGCTCTTGTAGCAGTGAATTCATTCGTCCAGACTGTAAGTACGGCTGAACTGAGTCCAATATTCCTGGTTTCTGAAACCGTCTGCAGAAATATTGTGTTTGAAGCAAAGAATGAAGTTTTAGTCTAAATGTTGTTTGTCTATTTAACCTGCAGTGAAGCAGACACTCGGTGAAGAACAAAGTTAAATTAATTCAGCTAATATTGGGTTAATGATTATAACTGACCTGTTGACCTTTTTTCCTTAAGTTGAAAATCAAAGCAGATTTTATTGATCACAATCATGTCGTGTAGAAAATCATCAGGGGCTCAGATTCAGGTTATGTTTTTGGTTCAGAAATCTGTTCATAGAAAGGAGACATCCGGTATTTTAATACTTAAAAACATGAACCATTTCTAACTTTAAGTCAAACTATTTTCTCCCAGTTACTGTTCAGTAATGATCAACAACATAGGAGAATGTTTAAAGTATTCGATTATGAACTAAACTGATGGACCGGCAGCTCCAGGTTTACCTCCATCAGAATCAGAGAAAACAGTGATATCATGATGTCAGATTTCTCAAGCAATTTAACATACTGACATTTTTTTCCTAAACTTCCTCCATAGAAAAAAAAATATTTGGAAGTTATAGATAATTAATATGTAATTTAAATCAAGGGTAAACACAAGTCATGATTTTTAGTTATATGATTAAAAATTACAATTTACTAAATTACCAGGTGTCATTAATGATTTACTTTTGTGGCTAGAAGTTTTGGACCAGCTGTTAAAATCCAAGTTGTCTTTGGCATTTCTAAATGTCAATGACTTGGTTTATAAGGTTACATTGGTAAAAATAGGACAGACTGTGGCACCCAGTGCAAGCCATTCCAAAAGAAATGCAGCATCTGAGACTGTATTCTCATTAGCAGGTTCGATGGTGGGTCTGAGTAGAAAGGTTGTGCCACAGCTGTGATGCAATCAAATTGTTTGAAACCAACACTCTGCCTCTAGAAGACATTTGACGATGAACCCATTTCCACTTAGCCAGTTTATCAGTGATTAACTTTTCTATATCTTCCAAGTTTTTCTGTACAATGGTTTTATCTCCGAGATAAACTCCAAGGTACTTAAATCCATTTTTTTTTTTCAATAAAAGATTCTATGGGAGAACTGGGAGCCCTCCATGCCACTTACAGATAGGAAAGGCTTCCTTCTTATCCCAGTTAGACTTTGAAGAAGCCAGGAAGGAAAACTTATTGGTGACATTATTTAATATGCTGACATAATCATCAGCATAGTTTGATAAAACAATATTTTAGTTAAATCCAGGTATGATAAAACCATAAACAGTTTAGAGGAGAGATTCCAGGGAGAGTGCATAGAGCAGCGGTAACCAATTAAAAATCAGTGGGGTCCGAATAAAGAAAATCAACAACCAGTAAAGGTCGGGAGACATTTTCATTAAAATCCATTATTTCAAACAGAATTTTATGCTGAAATAAAATAATGCAGTTTAAAAACCACAGGAAAAACCATGAGCAAGAATATGTTGAGCTACAGACATGGAGAGAGGAGACGAGATTTCAATCATTGCCCCGACAGACCCTCAGACAGACGTGATTGACAGAGGCATTTCAGACCTCCAGAGAATATTTCCAGATTGATAAGAGCGATCACCTTCAGCAGCACTTCATATAAAAGACCCGCCCTCGCCACTTAAAAAAAATGCACATGCATAACAATGCACCCGCTAGTGAGAGGGAACGCCTATTAAACATGTGCGAGAACGTGCACAAGCCCATTTCTCTTCATGCACGCTCTGATTAAAAGTTGCTGTTTGCATCGCTCATACAGGCTTACTTTCCAAAAGAAGATTTGCAACTTTTCCTCTATGTCAGACTCACCACCGGTATTATTACCATTTATTCGGATGATCCACCCAGAAAAAGAACATTCTCCACTATACCTGTAACTTTCAAAGTAGATAGAAATGTCATATGTTACTGTAGCCCACTCGGAAAGGGAAAGAACCAAGTACATTTATCCCATTAAAATCCTTTATTTAGCCCACAATCTGAAACTTTATACTGTAGAGTTAAAGCAACAGGCAAGTGAACACAGTACAAACAACATCACATAAGTATTGAAAGTAATAATAAAAGTGGTGTATTATTAACACTACTAACATTACATTATTAATGCTATTATTATTCATTGTAATAAATAAAAATCACTCAAACACTAAAAGATCGACAGTTGCATGATACATCAAGCTTAAATGTTAAAAAGTATCGGTATCTTATCGATATTGGCGATACCGACCCTGTACTTACTTGGTATCGTATCGATTGAAAATTACCTGTAGGGCAGGATTCAGTTAGTACGCTGGAGAAACGTATTTAAAAAATATGCTGAATCAACAGCAAAACAATTTTTGGAGGAATATGGGAGGATGGTTACTGTCACACTTAACAATAGTGTTGCAACGATACCGATACCAGTATCGAACGGGGCCCCGATACTGCACTAAAATGGTGGTATCGGTATCGGCGAGTACCAACAAATAGCGCACCAATACCATTTTGAGAGCCATAAGTTTATTCAACTATTGTCACTAGGGGTGTAAATAATAATCGTTTTGTATCGATGCATCGATCCAAAAGCCGACGATCCGATGCATCGACACGTCTGCAAGATAATCGATTCATGTTTTTTTTTTCCTCCGGTCTATTTTTATCCTTTTGCTCCTGGGCGTAATTCTCCCTCCCGTGCTGCGGTGGCGCTAAACCTATTTTGCCCTCCTACCTCGCTTCCTGGTTATACTCTTACAGCAGTGTGTTGCAGTAAGCTTCACACAGACATTTTTAAATTATGCTCAGTATTGAAGCGTGGTCTGTGCTACACGCTGTGGGTCTAGATACGGCCGAGGCGGCGAGGAAGTGGGGGCGAGTTTAGTCCGACGACGGAGGGACATGAGGGCCAAAAGAACAGAGATCCAGGTGGAAAAGGGTTCCAGCGTTCTCGCGCACCTTGCTCTTCTAGCGGGTCAAACTTCACGAGTTGTTTCTGCAATTTCGGTCATAAAAACAAAACAAGCCGGCCTCCTGTCTGCTGCACTGTTTGCGGTCAGCTACAATCTGGGAGAGGTGCAGCGGAGCGTCTCTCAAGGGGGCGGTGACGTCGTCACTCTGGAGCCTTCTTCTTCTTCTTTTTTTTTTTATGGCGGTTGGCAAACAACTTATAGGTGCATTACCGCCACCTTCCAGAATGGAGTATGGACCAGACAAACTATTATATTCTCCCTAAAATACCCGTTCTTCTTAGAAAATTAAAAATACTCCCAAAAACTACATCCCCAGATGACCTTTGAAACAATTCCCTGCTATCTAGTTTATTTTTATTCCTGTCTAACTCTCTATGCAACATCTCTCTTTCCTGAGTATATTTATTACGTTCTAAAAAAATATGTTGGACAGTTTCTCTGGAGCCGAGGTATTGCATTGCACTCATTACACTGATATTGTGCAGTATTTTTGCAGTATTTTTTGATGCAGCTTTTCTACTTCTGTTATTTGCTGTTGTTTCTAAAGAAAATGCATAATGATATTACAGCTTTCATTGATTTATTTCAAACTTGAAACTTTGTTTAGCCTGTAAGGTGTAAAAAAAAAAATAATAATAATCAAGGAAAAATTTAACCGATGAATCGAATCGAATTGTGGTGTATTCTTGAGAATCGAAAATAATCGAATTGTTGGGTCAGGAAATCGATACTGAATCGAATCGCCATGATGGATGTGATTTACACCCCTAATTGTCACCCACTCCAGGTAGGCAATAAAACGTTCTACTGGATTCACTTTGTATTAGATTTTTTCCTGCTTCACAAAGGTAGGCAGCAGCTTGACAAAGCCATGATGGCAATTATTTTACATTATTATGGTATCGGTATCGGCCGATACTGCACAGCCAGGTATCAGTATCGGGGCCAAAAAATGGCATCGGCGCAACACTACTTAACAACTTGAGGTAGAAAGGAGAACAAACCTGATCTAAAACTTTAAAAAGGCATTTTCTTATGGAAAGACAGCTTATAAATTAAACTGAAATGTTAAACTAAAATTTAATCGGGATCTAGAATTGAAGTAACATATGTTTTTGGTGTTTTCTTTTATTTAAAAAAAAAAACATTTATAACCCTTAAAGTCCTAACTTTATCATTTAGATTTAAATTATTTTTACCAGGTTTCAGCTTAGTTAATTTGTTTAATTTCCTGATGAAGTTACTTCCAAATGGACATCCAAACATTTTCCCTCAATACTGATTTATGGTTTCATACAATTCACTTTAATACCATCTAACTTTTTAGTTCTAATTCATTCAGTGTTTCTTCACCTTTCTTTTCTTTTATTTTCAGTGTCTGAGCTCAGAGTGATTCTGCTTGGAAGCCGCTGGTCCCACAGGAGTTCAGTGGGAAACTTCATACTAGGAATTAATGCCTTTAAATGTGAAACTAACGTCTGTATGAGATGCAGTGGAGAAGTGGAAAAAATTAAAATAGCTGTTATCAATACTCCAGACGTTCTGTTAAACACAGAAGACAAACTGACAGAGTTTATTAAAGACTGTGTGGAGGCCTCTGCTCCTGGTCCTCATGTGTTTCTGTTGGTACTTAAGCCAGAAGTCATCACAGACAAAGAAAAAGACAGGATATGCATAATCCTAAAAGCTTTTAGTGATCAATCATTCAATCATTCGATTCTAATGATATTGAAAACTGAACTGAGGGAGCTTATCAACGTTTTTCAACATCCCATGAAAAATGCTCCAATCAAGGAACTGATCAGGAAATGTAGATATCGATACTTAAAGAAGGAGGACATCGAACTGCCAGAGCTGCTGACTCGCTTTGGCCAAATTGTAAAAGAGAATGGTGGAGAATATGTGACTCACGAAGAGTTTAAAGATGCAGCAACAACTTTGGAAGATTCTCATCAGAGCCAGAAGGAAAAGGCAGCAATGGGTTCTATTGCAGCTGCTGTTCAAGCTGCTGGTGAGTGCAGAAATAACTTTGAGAATGATTTCAATAAAACTTGGAGACAAATAGCTTTTATTTTGTTTTATTTAACTGAGTATTAAATACATTCTGTCCTTTTTAAGGTATTTCTGCTCAAGTACCCAAGACACATCGTTCATATGAAGGTGGGTAGATTTATTAAAGAATCAGTGATTAAATGTACAGTATATGAAGGTCACTTCTCTATAGTCAAATTCAGTTTATTTCTATAGCGCCAATTGACAGAATCATTTTAAAACACTTAACAGAGACAATTCATTCAGGTCAATGAGTCAGATTGGTTATAAGTTTTTTAAGAAAAACCTGCTGAAAGCACCCAGTCATTGACTTTGCAAGATTCTCTCCAGTAGAGATTCACTGGCATTAGCAATCCGTCACACAGAGCATCGCATTTAGTGAAGAGGAAGAAATAAATTTTATCAGGAAGAAACATCAAACAGAAACAGACTCAGTGGGAGCGGCCTTCTGTCGACGGAGTTAAAAAAAACAAGCAAACATACAAAAGGAAAATAGAAGCATGGATCTAGAAAATGGAATAATTAACTAGCTCTATAGAGATAGCTCGGAATTACCTGAGCCAACTAAACTATAAACTATAAGCCTCATCAAAAAGGAAAGTTTTTAGTCTAGCCTTAAAAGTAGACAGGGTGTCTGCCTCAAGGACAAAAACTAGGAGCTGGTTCTACAGCAGAGGAGCCTGATAACTAAAAAATCTCCATCCTGTTGAGATAGAAAAGTTAGTTTAGACAACTGGACGTGAAGTTTTCTAATAGAAGTTTCTTCTTTCATACAAGAGGCTTCTTCATTTCTAACTAGTGGTAGGGAGCACTGAGATTAATGTTCTGTAGGTGTAACAAAGATTTAGGGGGAAAAAAAGGTGGCTCTGATCCCCCCTACGGAACTGGCCATGGAGGTCAGACTCAGTCACTGGTTCAAATAAGTGGATGACACATGGGTCAAAATAAAGACCAAGGATATCAACACATTCACAGACAATATTAACACAGTGGACAGAAACATCAAGTTTAACCAGGAAAATGTAAAAGAAGAAAGCCTTGCCTTTGTGGACTGCATGGTTCCCATCACGGAAGACAGACTGCTCAACATAAAACTCTACAGGAAACCCACCCACATGAACCGGTACCTCTGTTTTGATTCACACCACTCACTGGAACACAAACTAGTAGGGGTGTAAATAATAATCGTTTTGTATGGATCCATCGATTCAACAGCCGACGATCCGATGCATCGACATGTCCACCAGTATAGCGACTCATGTTTTTTTTCCTCCGGTCTGTTTTTATCCATTTGCTACTGGACATAATTCTGACTCCCGTGTTGCGGTGGCACTAAACCTATTTTGCCCTCCTACCTCGCTTCCTCCTGCAGTGTGTTGCAGTGAGCTTGATGCAGACATTTTTTATTTATGCCCAATATTGAAGCGTGGCCTGTGCTATACGCTGTGGGTCTAAATACGGCCGAGGCGTAGAGGAAGTGGGGGCGAGTTTAGTCCGACAACGGAGGGACATGAGGGCCAAAAAGAGCAGAGATCCAGGTGGAAAAAGGGTCCCAGTGTTCTCGCGCACCTCGCTCTTCTAGCTGCTTCAACTTCACGAGTTGTTTTCCGCAATTTCGTTCATAAAAACAAAACAAGCCGGCCTCCTGTGTGCGCCACTGTCTGTGGTCAGTTACAATTTGGGAGAGGTGTAGCGGATTGCTGTGGAGGGGGCTAGGAATATATCCAAGGCAATCGCATTCTTCATATGTACAGACATATGTCCCTATTGCGTTGTGGAGAACGAAGGCTTCCGATACCTGCTCGACACTCTGGACTCGAGGTATTGTATTGCATTCATTCAGCCTTTCAGAATCTATAACGCAGGGGTATTATTATTTTTCAGTGAATGAGGTTTTCATAGGCCTAGGTGGAGTACAACTTTTCTACTTCTGTCATTTGCTGTTCTTTCTTAAATAAAATGCATAAGGATATTACAGCTTTCATTGATTTATTTCAAATTTTAGACAATGTCTAGCCTGTAAGGTAAAAAAAAATGAACCAATTAATCGAATGGTATCGTGGTGTATTCTTGAGTATCGAATATAATTGAATCGTTGGGTCAGGAAATCAATACTATATCGAATCGCCATGATGGATGTGATTTACACCCCTACAAACTAGGCATCATCAAAACCCTCCAGACACGAGCAGAAACTATTCCCACCACCACAATAGGGAGGTTGAGAGAACAGGGATACATTAGGTCATTCCTTAAGAACTGTGGTCATCCCAGATGGGATGAGAAAAAAAAGAAAACAGAAGAAGGAACATCCTTTTTCCCTGTTGCTGGGGTCCCTGTTTATTTCAAACTAGGCAACACCCTGAGACAAAAAATTGGTTAACCCCAAAGATAAGACACCCATAAACAAGTCCGACAATGCGGTTTAGTGAAGACTGCATAGACCTGTACATTGGAGAGACCAAGCACCTGCTACACAGGTGCATGGTTCAACGCAGGAGGGCCAACTCATCATGACAGGACTCAGCTGTTCACCTACACCTGAATGCTAAAAGACATCTGTTTGAGGACTAAAACTCCTATATTCTTGCCAAGGAGGAGTGGCTAAGGAGTGGGGTGTTAAGCAAGCCATGAAAAATCATATCTTAACAGAGTAGGTGGTCTAACACATAACCTTTCACCTACTTAGGAAGCAGTTTTAGGAACAACGCCCAGCAGATTCACCTGCCCTCACCTGGCTCAAACTTCAATGAGGAATGTGACCGAAACCCCTTTGACGGAAGAGTTGGCGACCCACCAGAAATCCATTAATAACTATTAACTTCCCAAAGGTGACCTTCATGGCCAATCCAGTAGGAGGATCATAGCCACATTTTTCCCCCTATTTCTTTGTTAGACCTACAGTATATTAATCTCAGTGATCCCCGCTACTAATTAGAGCTGAAGAAGCCTCTTGGAAGAAAATTGAAACTTCTTCTAAAAAAACGTCACGTCCTGTTGCCAAAGCTGAACCTTTCAGCTTAGGCAAGCTTAGTCTGAATGACTCTGAATCTTGACAATTATGTTCCGCCCGTTATGTACTCTGTAAATTAGCAGATAAAAATAATTCACCAATTAAATTAACATTTAGGCTTTTTTAACTGGGCAGAAAACAGAGCTCAGATAAAAACCTGCATTTATTGGAAGAACATATCATATTTTTCACAGAAAGAACCAGTTTCTCCCAGCTCAAAGTCATGATTGACATACATTTGAAAAGGTTTGAGAGAAACAGAATAATCATTCTATGGTGAATTCTTAAAATAAGCAAGTAATTTTTGTTACTTTGTAAAACTGACAAGCAAAAATGAAATATTTATTAAAAGCACTCATCTCTGTGTTATTCTATTTGTAGATCATTGAAATACGAGTAATACGTTTATTCTAGATGTGAAGAATTTAATTTTGGTTGAAATGTCATCAAAGAAAATATTTTTTGCCTTTTTTTCAGATATGTGAAATAGGCCTGAAACAATTAATTGGATTAATCGATTATTGAAATAATTGGCAGTTAATTTAGTAATTGATTCATCGTTAACAGGCGTATATAGACTGTAAAATATGCCTTTAGCTTAAAGAGTGACCCACTTAGAGTATCAAATATATCAAAGTTTTAAAACCAAAATATAAACATTCTGCATTTACTATAAAAAAAAACAAAAACATTTTCATCTGTCACTATGCTCAATCCAGAACTCAATTGGAAAAGTTTTAGTTTCACCTTGTTTAATTTCTTTAAAAAATCTTCTTTTGGCATCTTCTTTGACTATCCGATTATGAATCCATCGAACAAAAAAATAATCGACAGATTAATCAATTTGCAAAACAATCATTAATTACAGCCCTAATTTGTACATATTCAGTCAAACTAATATTTGTCAAAATGGCCTGCCATAGCCTGTTGTAACCACGATAACATTAGAGTGTTAATTAGTTTACTGTTTGAATAGTGGTAGATCAATGTATCTATTTAGGAGCCATCACCTATCAGCAGTTTAAGATTAAATATAAAAACGTTCTAATGGGTAGTAGTTATGCATCACCTATTTGGGTCCGTACTCATTGTTGATTCGGTCTTCCATCACACAGTAAATACTAAATAGCTGTTTGCAGCTGCTTCAGATGTTATCATCCCATTAACTGGCCTTTATTAGTGGTTTTCATTCCCTTAGAAAGGCTTCATTTTGTGACTCCTACCTCCCAGTAGGCTCAGTAAGCTGGTATCAATGAATGAATTCTAATCCCAACCCTAAGGTAATTCATATTTTCCAGTGGAATTAATCTATTTATGAGTTATCTGAAAATTATTTCAGTAGTTTGTCATGTATTGTACAAAAAGGAAAGAAAAAATATCTGCATGTTGCAAACCAAAAACAAAAAAAAACTCATATCTTATGGCATCCTATCCTGTCAACTGAGTTGTTTTTTAACCAAATTAAATCTGTGTGACTGAAATGTAGAATTAATTTGATGTTAAACTTTAAAATGGGGTCGTTTTTTTGTTTGTTTTTGTATTGGGTACATTTTAAGTAAAGTAGATAAAAGCTATAAAGTGGGTTGAAAAAAAACTTTGCAAAAAAACTGTTATCAGTGGTAAACTGCACATTTTCAGCCATAAAAAACTGCTAGAAGGTAGAGGAGGCTGAAGCCATTCTATGGGACTGGTGCTGTTTGACTGTGCAGTTTTATTTTCTATAATGCTGTTATCACTCACACCAGTGTTCTCTCGCTGATTCCAAAACAAATAAACAATCCACTGGACTTTTTTTTTTCCAAGTTTGAAGATGTTTCACTTCCCATCCAGGAAGTTTTTTCAATAAATTTGGAATTAATTCATTCTTTTTTTTTTTATTGAAAAAAGCCAAGTCCAGTGAACTGTTTTTTTTTTTTTTTTTTACTTTTTTGGAATGACCTGGATGACTGAGAATCTTCACCAGTATATCTCTCACTGATAACAAGTTAAGTTAAATACGTCAGTGTAATGCTGCAAATGTGAGGACAGATAAGGTTGTGAATGTATGTGGATTGCGAGGTGAAAAGATAGTGCTCCAAAACATAATTTTCTGAAT